ATATATATCTTTTATTAAATAAGCTAAAATAAAATCTTTTCAATTATTTTCATTAGTGACACATTAGGTCATTAGGCGAATTAGTACTGTGTCTTTAGTAATGTGGGCACTGTATCAATCCGGTTAAGCGAGAGCTGAGCCAGAAGGCGAAGCTCTTGATTTACTGGTCGGTCTACATTACAACCCACATCTATGGTCACAAGCTTTGGGTAATGAGTCACTACTAGTGACCAAAAAATAAGGTCGCTGATATAAGCGGCTGAAATGAGTTTCCTCCGCAGGGTGTCTGGACTCTCCCTGAGAGATAGGGTGAGAAGCTCAGTCATCCGGGAGGGACTCAGAGTAGAGCCGCTGCTCCTCCACATCAAGAGGAGCCAGTTGAGGTGGCTCAGGCATATGGTTAGGATGCATCCCTGTTGTGGTGTTCTGGGCGTGTCCCACTGGGAGGAGACCTAGAGGAAGACCCAGGACACGTTGGATGGACTATGTTTCTTGACTGGCCTGGGAACGCCTTGGGATTCCCCCGGAAGAGCTGGTCCAAGTGGCTGGGGAGAGGGAGATCTCTGCTTAGGCTTCTGTCCCCCGTGACCCAACCCTGGACAAGTGGAACAAGATGGATGGATGAATATTTACATGTCAACACTAACATGTTAAACAGTAGCTGAGTAAAAATAAAATTTCTCTGCAGACTTTATATTTGATGAAAGAGACCTACAGTGTTTCAAATCCCCTAAAATTCATCTCACAGGTCTTTCAGCACTTTTTGTAATTATTAATTAAACTCTTCTTTAATTCTGCAGGTTCAGTCTGGATGCAGGAAATCCTCCCTCTGGTGCTGAATGGAGGAGATCTGACCCCGATCAAAACAATTCCAAACTGGGATCGAGTCCCATGGCTGGAAGAAATAAGACTGGCACAGGTTGTGGACCAGTTGGCATCTCCACGTGGACTGATGTCACATTTCACCTATAACCTCATGCCCCCTTCTTTCCATACCTCCAAGGCCAAGGTAGCTGAGTGAACACTTTGTCTGAGACTTACATTTTATTATCTGATATTGTCATGTTATATTTTCACACTGTTCTCTACAGGTGATCTACGTCATGAGGAACCCCAAGGATGTCTTGGTGTCTTCATACTACTTCCACCAGATGGCTTCTTTTCTTGAAGATCCAGGAACATTTGATGAGTTCATGGAAAAATTCCTAGAAGGCAGAGGTCTGAATTTATTCAGAACAGCATCTTAATCAAATCTGAATCAACGTTTATTACCTTCATTTCCTTTCATGGGAAAATATTATTGAAAAATAAGAGTTTTGTTGATGTCCGAGGTAATCTGTGTTAACCAACCAAAGAGCAGTTTTTTCATTCAGTCTTTCTCGTCTGCAGTGCTGTTTGGAAAATGGACAGATCATATAAAGAGCTGGAAGCGTGCCGAACTGGGAGACAGAATCTTGTTCATCACATACGAAGAAATGGTTCAGGTGAATATCTGAGTTTTTATAAATTAATGTGTTTTATTTGTTTCAATTAGAAATCAGAGCTACAGATTTCAGCTGTTTTTTAGATCATTATTTATGTCTGTCCTCATTGGCATACTTCTGATTAACACCGAAATGCTCCTCATTCAGCAACCTTCCAAAACATCTGCTNCAAAGGCTGACATGCATAAAAGGGCTTGGACCCCGGTCATAACTGCTTTGCAGTTCTAGTTATTATTATTATTATTATTGTTGTTGTTGTTGTTGTTGTTGTTCTTGTTGTTGTTTTGTCTGTGTGACTTCAATGACACCATATACCAGATGGCAGTTTTGTTGTAGTTTCTTTCATTTTTAACAACTTCTTAATAAATACCTTCTGTTTAAATACAAGTTGAGTGGTTTTGTGTATACAGTCAAATGTTTTTAATTGACTGTATGGAACAGTTGTGTGTGAACAGTTTGGCGCCTGCCTGTGAAGTCATGACAACATAAAACATGAACGCAGTGTTTTTTTTTTTCCACATGAGTGTTACACTAACAGTACTGTGGTTAGAGAGGAGGAAGCTGCCTGCGGTTTGGGATGATAAACAACAGGAACATTACACACAACAGAAATATGTCTTGTTCTATTTTAAGAAGAGTGAATAATGGAATGTTTAAAAGTTTGCTTCTTTTGACCAGAAAGAGAAAAATGTCAGCCTGAAAGGGGTTTATTCTGGTGTTGCTCTGACCAACATGTTTTCACCTGGGAGGAGTTTTGCTTGGATCACCCTGGTGGGGTGGAGGACCACGATGACAACTCTGCAGATGTATTCACAGTTAAATTACTCAACCACTGACTTCAGCAGACAACTCCGCTGCTTTTTATTGATTCATCAAGTACGTTTATGGTTTGGGCATGTTCTGGTAAATGGATTTTATTTTCAGGAACCAGTATTTGAAAAACAAACAAACAAGTTCTCAAGTGATTTTCATTTTAAAAAACAAAAGATTAAATCAAAATTGTTATGGTTTGTAGCAGGTTTGGACCCAACAATGCAGACACAAGGAGCTCAAATAACTTTTTCTTATTTACAAATGAAAGAAAATGCTGATGTGGCACTGAGTGTACAAAAACTCAGGAAAAATCACGAGTAGGTGCGAGGAGACAAGGAAATAAACCAGACTGTGGCAAGGAGGCAACAGTTCACTGCTGAAGTGTGCAGGAGAACAGACTGAATAAACAAAACTGGGTTGAGGAAGTGGACCTGAGCTGACTGCAGACTAGAATGACAACACAAGTGACTGAAACACAAAAACTTATACACAACACACAGACTCTGACAGCAACACAAGCCTTTTTAAGGTTGAAATTTGATGAGAGGATATCTACAACATATTTAGTTTAAACAAACCAAGTCCTCTGAGACACAAGTAYTATAGTTTTTTCAGTGGACTTTTGTTGTGCATTCCTGATGACTTTCAGTGTCAAGATATGAGAAAATTAAGTAGCTAATATATGCGATAATAGTTTATCTGTGTCCGTGATGTGTTTATTTTTTGTTTTATTATAAAGATAAAAAGTGGAACAATTAAAAAATTTATTCCACTAGCTCTTTGACCTAAAATGTAAATCTAATTCTCGAAGTCGGTGTGATGTCATTCAGTCATGTGATTTCAACCTCCATTTTTTAATGGGGGAAAAATCATTGTGAGTCTCCTCCAAACTGTGTCAAAAGTAGAGACTTCAAACTATTCCGGCGCGGGTGTCTCTGGGGCTGCGTGCTTGGGGTCCCTCTCGGGGTCTTTGGCCCTGGTCTCCCTTATGTCGGTTTCCGGCTTTGAGGGTCGCATCTGTGGTCCCCCACAGTCACTTTGAAATATTCCATTGGAGAGATCTTGTATATACATGCATGCTCACAACTGCACACAAACAGGTGTTTACATCCTGGGTTTTCTATTCGGGCACTGACTGAATGGTATGTGCATATGTGTATGTGTATGTATGTATGTATATGTATGTGTATGTGTATGTATGTATGTATATGTA